TGTGGAATGTCTAAGATATCAAATTTAGACACCTTTAAATTAATTAGTTAATTGATAAATTTCATCCATTTTTAAATAGAAAAGAATCACTTTATTTATCCAGCACATAGCTTATAAGCAAACAGAGTTAGCTGTAGATCAAATAGATAAAAATGGCAGCATTTAAAACAACGAGAAAATAACACTTACCAGGGACAATATTATGACACACAGGCGGTGCGCTGAGATTACTCATTTAAATTTGCTATTAAATCATGAAAAATAAGTGGATGCAGTAATAATTAGGTTTCATTGATTTGTGAGGCATGAAATATACAATTTGGGGGATTATTACTACCCTTGAAGGTCCAGTTTTATAATGGATACAAATAAAAAATGTAAACCTAACCTTGTTTTGTTATTTCAAAGCTGATTTTGCAGACCGTAACATGGATGATGCTTATATCCGCACCTCAGCGCTCACACTGGCCAGGCCACACGACCCTCCTCTCTCTACACACAGATCTAGACCTCACCTCTTCACTATTAATTAGCTCAGCAACGATTACCAGGAGTGTGGAAGCCCCTGGAATTGGATTCATTATCAGAAGAACAACCTCTCATTTGCTTCCAATGACCCTGAACCCAGAAGAGCATCTGAGGAAGGAACCCTCTTGTCCTTTGCATTTAGACACAGCAGGTTAAGATAAATTCAGCCAAGATTCAAAGCTGCTCTGGTCTAACCAAGTGTTTAAGTGCCTGGTGGAAGCTAATGAGAGTCAACAAGCCAAAATCAATTTAACACGGAGGGGACGGAGACTGCCTGAGGACTTCATGCATGTCTGCTTTACATTTTTGTTGAGTTAAAAGGAAAAATGAAACAACATCTGAACATAACAACAGAACAACTACAAGTGTTTTAGATTTTAGCCTGAAGGAAAAGAGGATTTAAAAAAAAAAGTTGCAATATCTGCTTTCCCATCCACTGAACAACAATAAATGATACAGAAAGCTTCATTATTGTTTTTCACTTATAATGGCTCTATTCAAAGGATAATCCAAAACAAGCAGTTAAGATTCATATAAGCTTAAATCACAGAGCTGGGCTGTGACAGCTCCTTCGCTAACCATTGAGTGTTTTTGTCATGATCTGGCCCGATTGCTCCACCTTAATTGCTTATTTTTTCACCTGCCGTTTTCCCTCCCTGCCTTAATTATCATTTATTCCTCTCACCTGTTTCCTTTGCTTTATATTCTGTTCAGCCGAAGCTTTCGAGGCCAGATCATTTCATTTGCTTTCCTGTTAGTCTGTCTGAGTGTTTTCTATATTATTTCATGGTTCAAGTCCTGGATCATGGCAGCCAGTGGAATTAGGGTTTTGTGTCTGTCTCATCTCCTGCTTGTCCACTGTTCCTCCCCTGCTGAGCCCTCTAGGTTTTTGGCTCAATGTTTTTATCCCCGTAAGCCTGGCTCCAAGGTGGAGACCAATTTAAAGGTCCTGCATCAAGTTCTGGTTCCACATCCTGTCTCTGCTACCCTCTGCCACTGAGCCTGTCCGTCTGCACCTGATCCTGTCTGCTCCTGACTCTGAACCTGCCTGGGAGCATGTGGATTACCTGGAAGCCTGGAACCTGTCACTTGTCTGTTCCTGCTTGATGTGAAACACTATCCAGGATCGGCTTCCTTCGGGTCCTCCAGGACTGCAGCCCCGGGGACAGTCTGGGTGACGTGCGCCTCGTCAGTCTACAGTCCAGCAGCTGGATTGCGCACCTTTCCATGGAGATGGACTGGACTGTTAAACCAGGTAAGTGACCAACTCGGATAATCTTTTGTCAGATGATCGTGGTCACTCACCTGTGTTTCTCTCATGAACAGAGTGTCTGAGATTGGGCGGGGCCCCACCCCCCACCTGCAGTCGCCGCCAGCCACAGATCCAACAGCTCCACTTTAGTTTCTGTTTGTTAGTGTTTTTGTTTCAATAAACGTTCTGAACTTTCCTACTGACTGTCTCTCCTTGAATACTTGCTCCATCTGTCACGTTTTGACAATTTTTCATGAAAAACCACTTCAAACAACCTTAAAAACATTTTGTAAAATTTGGTAAGTTGCTTTAAATTTTGCCATTTGCACATAAAAAAAAAAAAACACTGAAACACATAAATCAGACATCATAGGATTGTGAAAGCTCCTTTATCCATTCTAATTTGTAGTGCTACACCGAAAGACAATGGTTTCTACCCCTTGTTTAAGAAAAGAATCGTCACAACAGTAAAAAGAAAAACCTTGAATCAAATAAAGGTAATAAACACAAATTCTATAAAAATGAACCAATGAAAGTCAGACATTGCTTTCAACCATACCTTAGCAGATTTAAAGATCAAACTCATAAAACCAGTCTGGTTAAATCAATCAAGTTGTATCCTCTAATTAGCATTACAGGTGTTTACAATCTAGCAATCAGTCAGTGGGCATATATATAGGGCTACAGGTGGTCACTGTGCTGTTTGGTAACATGGTGTGTACCACACTCAACATGGAAGCAAAGGAACAAGAGTTTCCTCAAGATATCAGAACACTAGAGAAAAGAACCATATAAGACCATCTCCAAGCAGCTTGGTTTCCTGTGACTACAGCTGCACATATTCATCACAAGTATGAGACCAATGGAACTGTAGCCAACCTCCCTGGATATGACAAATAAAAACTGACCAAAAATCTGATGAGAAATCAAAGAGATGGATAATAGAAATGTCAACAAAAGAGCCCAGAAAAATATGCAAAGCAATTAAAAGTGGACTTTAATCTCAGGAATATCAGTGTCCGATCACACCATCCGTCAATTTTTTGCCAAAGTGGAATAATTGGGAGATGACCAAGGAGGACATCAAAGTTTGAGCCAAATTACCATTTAACAACCTACAAAGCTTCTGGGAGAATCTCCTATGGACAGAAGAGACAAAACTAGGAACTTGATTATGATAGAGAAATGAAGAATATCAAGAAAAGTAAAACACGGAGGAGGCTCTGTCATGCTCTGGGCTGCTTTGCTTCATCTAGAACGGGGTGTCTGGATCTCTGCAGGTCATGGGTCAGACCAGACATGGGCAATGTGGAGTCAACAAGTCATCTCCATGCCATGTATTTGTTCTACCCAGCCACTGAAGCAGGTGAGTCCAATCTTCACCGTGAATTAACCTGTGCAGATTGGACTCACCTGGTTAATTGGCTGGGTAGATTAAATACATCACATGGAGATGACTTGTTGACTCCACATTGCCCATGTCTGGGTCAGACAGACAGAATGATGAACCAAAACGCACAGCTAGAAACAGCCAAGAACGGCTGAGAGGAAAACATGAGGCTCTTCTGAAGTGGCCTCTAGGAGCCCTGACCTCCATCCTGGAGCAGAAAACTTGCTGAGAGGAGCAGAGGTCTGACTGATGCTACGTTCACACCGGATGAGCATTGAGCAGCAAAAAAGCTTCTGCTGCTTAATTTTTGATGCTTGTACAGATTAAGATCAGACACGCTTCAAGAGCAACTTTGATGCTCCTGAAGCGCGTCCAGTAAAGTGTGTCCAGATGCATCTGACGCTTCTGCTGCTCCTGTGTTCACTGGTTTAGCTATTTTTGCTGTGATGAGCTGGTAAAAAGTAGTTTTAATATATCTTTAAGCAAGAAAGTCCACATAAAAACATTGTGCAGTCAGTTCATCCCGATAACGATCCTGTCTTATTATTATTTTGCTGTTGGAGCCGCTCAGACCCCCACATACTGGCGGTGCTGTCACTGGGAATCCCCAGCAACAGCTGGGTGTTTTCCGCTACTGTTCATCGGGGCTGGAAGCAGATGTTAGCGTTTTTTTTACATACATAATCCAAACGGCAGGCACCAGAATAATAAAATCGAACATATTTTGACATTTTAAGTTAATTTAGGCATTAATAAACTGTTTCAGAGGAGTGATCATAGCGATCTGCATCAGCAGCACCGTCTGTCTTCTTGCCAGCTTCTAGATCAGCTTCTCTCGTTGAGGAGCAAAAATTATATTTTTCCAACCCTAGCATCTGCTGCTTGTGCAGCGTCTCCGATGCTTCAGATGCTCAGAAACTCATGAGGCGCTGCTTCAGCTGCTCTAGACCTGCTGCAGGACAGTTTGATGCGCCTTGATGAGTGTCAACCAAATGCTTTGCGTGTAAACTGACTGCTTCTGCTGCTTCAGCAGCGTATGTTGTGAATGTAGCATGACAGAAGAGGAACCACTGATGGCAGCGATAGACTCTAAAGGCTGGGGAATTAAACATAAAGTTAAGGGTGCCATTGTTTTGCCCAGGCAAAACATTTTTTTTTATTATTCTATTGAAGAAGGGTTGAAACACAATGTCTGACTTTCATTTGTTCATCTTCAATAATTTTTTTTTTCATTATTACTTTCAAATTCAAATGATTTCTGCAACCATTTTGTCTATGTCTGGAAATTCAATTTAATTCAGTTTATTTCTAGAGCACCAATTCACAACACATGTCATCTTTACAGTTCACCAGATCATCCAGTCAAATTGAATCAAAGTTTTCTATCTAAGGAAAACCAGTTGATTGCATCGACTCATTGACTCGAATGCAATCCCTCACACTAAGCATGCTTGTAGCGACAGTGGAGAGGAAAAACTCCCTTTTAACAGGAAGAAACCTCCAGCAGAACCAGGCTCAGTGTGAGCGGCCATCTGCCGAGGCTGACTGGGGTTCAAGGAGACAGAAGCAGAGATGACCTGGCTTGCTGTAGAAGTGTAATATGAAATACAAAGGTAGAGACAGGACTGTGTATGCTTTAAATTTTCATTAAGGTGCCTAGAATACAAAAAATAAGAGGGGGGAGGGGGGTGCTGCTGTCCCAGCAGGAACATTTATTTGTTCCTGTAAAGTATTTAGCTTTTTCTCTTATTAGACACACATTTTGTGAAAGATCTAATGTTTGTATCATTTTCAAATATTAACTAATTGTGTCGTTTTCTTTGCTCTTACTTTATAAGGTTCTCCAAAGAGGTTGAATCCAGTTGAGAACAAGTCTTCTTCTTGCTGGACCTCCTGGTTCCTCCTCTCCCACTCCCTCCTCTTCAGGGCACTGCGCTCTGATTCAAGATGGCTGCAGAGATATAAGAACAGAAGCTTGTTAAAGTGGCGTTTCTAAAACAGCAGAAAAAAATCTAAGGGGAAAAAAGGGGGTAAATTAAAAAAAACAGGGTCACTGGTGTTGATGCGCTGGCAGACACTTCTCTGAATCTCATTCAAACCTGGAAACAGCAGAACAAAAAAAAAAGGAGAGACAAAAGGTCAGGCCTGGTAGGAGGCCCAACACTTTCTCAAAGCGGAAAAGGTGACAATCTTTAATAATCGCTCATTGTGCTCTAAAAGGAGGGAAATTAAGGCCGTCCACCTGGCAGCCGCGCCTCCATCGCTGTCGGTCAAAGCTCCAGTCATAACTCCTGCAGAGTCATTTGACCCGCCAACAAAGCACCAGCTGGGCTTTAATCAGATGGAAGAATTTGGATGTCAGGAAGATTGTCAGAAGTTGTCCAGGGGATTTTTTTTTTAGTGAATGTAAAAGAAGCTTAGCATTTCTAGAGTTTTCAACAAATTTCTATTCAATTCATTTTATTTATATGGCTCCAATCCACAACACATGTCATCTCAAAGCACTTTACAGTTCAACCAGATCATACAGTCAAATTGATTTAAAGTTTTCTATCTAAGGAAAACCAGTTGATTGCATTGACTCATTGGCAATCCCTCACACTAAGCATGCTTGTAGCGACAGTGAAGAGGAAAAACTCCCTTTTAACAGGAAGAAACCTCCAGCAGAACCAGGCTCAGTGTGAGCGGCCATCTGCTGAGGCTGACTGAGGTTCAAGGAGACAGAAGCAGAGATACAAAAAGCAACTGTAAAAGGGCAGCTCCGTCCAGGAAACACACAGACAGGCAGACGACACGGCTTCAAAGGAGTCTTGACATATTTTTTCATCTGTCAAACAATTGAAGAACTGACTAAAAACTGAGATCTTCTAGGTGTGCTGATGAAATTTGCAGTCATACAAAGAATTTGTCCCTTTTTAAAAAATATATAACTATTAAGTTTACATGTCCCTAATTGTGCTGCATCATCATCAGAGCAAATTATTGCCCTAACAGTGCAGAAGGAAAGTTTATCCACAGTCATCGTCTATATCTGCATGCAAATATCTAAATATGGCCTCCTTTATTTATACTTGTTTGAAAGTACAATAAGCAGTGGTGGCTAAGCTTGGTATAACCGCTCCATCTGTAACTTGGTACAGATGGCAAACGCACTGCTCTATCAGGAAACAACATAATTCAAGCATTTAAAACTATTTATTCCCTTATTCAAGAACAGAGGGAAAAGATTAACAAGATAAAAAACAAAGGGTAGATGCTAAGGGAAAAATGAAAGTGAGTTATGAGTAGGACTCTACACATCTGAGCCCGTAAATTGATCTAGGTAGAGTTTTAAATTCTCTACAAAATGGTTCAAAAGCTGTTTTCTCTTCATTGTTTCACTCTTAGGTCTAAAACTTTGTAAACATCAGAATCAGGTTGATAACAGATGTCTTGGATAGGGAACACAACCATTTTTGATGTGTGTGCACCAACACGGGCGTCGATATAAACACTCGCAGCCCTTGTTCAGGCTCACATGCCATCAGCAGAGTGTTGCACCGCTATAGGTCAGCCCTCAGGGCTCAGCAGGGCCTCGCATGCCGACCTGATCTCTGGTCCTTGTTATAAAAAGGCTATGAAAAAGATATTTAACTGCTGTTTTAAGTATATTCATTCCAAATAAGTTAAAAAACATTCCACTGGACTTTGTTTCCAAGTTTTATGGCGTTTCGCTTTCCATCCAGGAAGCTTTTTCAATTCAAAATGTCAGAAATAGTGTTGAGGTCGAGGCTTTACAGAGTGGTTTTGTTGTTAAAAGTATAATTTATAACAATCAGCCACAGCACGTAAGCCGAGTGGAGCATGGAGGAAGCAGTGGAGCAGAAGAAATATGGTGGAGCGCAGAGCAGTTTTCAATTTAAAAGCCGGAGCGAGGATTTCACTCCATAAAAACATACACTAACTATACTTAACAGTAGAGTGGGTTTACATAAAGTGATCGTTGTGGTCAATTTTATAAAAAAAATTGATCACATACATGCATTATACGCTATTATCTCATTTGCAATGGGATGCGAGGTGACCTTGTTTTAATGTAGTCTAGTAAAATAAATTAATAGTTAAATAGGAAACGCGGGGAAACATGAATAGAGCGAAGTTTTACGTTCACATCAGGGAAACAGTGTGATAATATAACAGCCATTTAAATAAGACAATACACATGTATCAGTCACAAAATCAAACGCAGTGTGTCCCAGGGCACTGGCATCATTACATAAAGAAAAATGTCAGAAAATGCCTTCTTCTGAAAGTTTGAGTGAGCATGGAGCGATTTCGCCGAAGCGGCAGGAAAATTAAGGTGAGCTAAACCTGTAACTTCCAGGTTTAGCTCCCCTGAAAACCACTGCTAACACTTTATCATTCCATTTTAGACCAGCAGATTGAGGAGTCACTGAGTTCCTGGTAAATTTAAAGCCATATTCACCCCTCTAGATTAAATCCTACATCAAAGAACCAAAGCCATGTCTGATCTTGTAATGCAACGGTTCCCAAAGTGGGGGACGGGTTCCCTCCGGGGGATTGTGAAACACCAAATCAGGGTCTGTGGGATAGTTTTCACAGTCATTTAAAGCTAAGGTTACCAAATTATTCAGCTTCTGACCCATAACACTAGGGGTAAGTATTGGCATGGTTGTTGCGATACGATACTTGGGTCACGATATTGCAATATCACTATATATTGCGATATTTTCCCCTGCTGTCCAAATTAAATTTATGGATGAAAAAGCGTTTGTTTTATATGTTCATCAGAAGATATTGATCATTTACTTTTTTTGGGTTTGAGTCAACGTCTTCCACTGTGACTGCCTCAACTACAGATATGGCGCCAGAGTGGCGGTGCAGAGGTAGCCCATTTTCCCTCATTGTTTTAGATACGTGTATTTTTTTCTTTTTAAAAAATTGAAACAAGGAACAGAAAGACCGTCGTTATTGGGCAGCCAAGTCACGATTTATCACCAAAATGATTTTTCCCCACACCCCTACATAATACTGCACCAGATTTAACTCATGACCGAAGCTAATGGTTGAGTATATAAACATCGGAACAAAATCTAAACACCCCAGGCATAACAAACTTACAAACAGCAAATACAACCAAAGCTGCTTTTCTATCTTGAAGCACTTTAACATAAGGGTTCATTTTTTGCTTTTATCATAAGTGTTGATCTTAAGACCCCACAGTAGTTGATCATGGAGCCCAAGTGGGGTCACATCCCATACTTTGTAAATCAGTGATCTGAACTGATCCCTGAAGTATATGAAGCGCCAAAATATATCATGAAATACATAAAGGTGTGTGTCCCATGAAAATAATATATGTACCATTAAATAAGTAGATGTGAATAGTGTTAATATTGATTCAACTTTCACAGTAAATATACCCATACAATATAAAATGTACAATAAATAATTCAAGATATTATTAAAGTGTTGATTTAAATAAAAGAAATGTTTTCCAATATGAATATAATTTGTTAACCCCTGTTGTTACCAAGAGCTAAAAGACATATGAAAGCAGTATATAACTACTGGAAACATGAGAGACTGGCTAGGGAGACTGGCTAGGGACCGCCCAATCCACCCAATGACCCTGATTAAAACACAAAAAAAATATATATATATTTTTTATAATTACATTTTAAATCAACATTTAAAATATTTTGAATATATTAATATGTATCTCTTAGATCTGCAAGATACATATTTAATCTTAAATGACTAGTAAAGCTTCAATCAATTTTTCATTGGATTGATTTTTTTTTCTGCCCTAGAGCGCAAAAATCTTTGCCAATTGACTCTCATTAAAAGTTGTACATGCACAGTAGTTCCTCTGCATTACAAAGGTATAGGAGAGCTGACAGGAAGTGTATTTGCTCACCATCTCCCGCCACAGTGCAGATGTTTTGCGTGTGATTGACAAGTCGTGTAACAAGAGTTGGAGACGCATTGGAGAGAGAGTGAGAAAGAAATGGTGCAAGAACCGTCCTTTTCAGGACCAGGTTTAGCAAGAAAGTTTGGCTAACTGCATGCAGCGAGGCTAATGCTTTATTCTGCTTTCCCTGCCTCCTTTTTCAAACGATAGGATCTGACCCATCATGGATAAAGACAGCTAGGACTGATTTAGAGCACTTTTTAGTAAAGGCAAAGAAGAATGAAAAATCTGGGATTCACATGAAATATAATATGATATAATGTACTTTTTCTAGATATTTGTTAATTTGCATAGTTGCTCTTAAATAAACATTCTCAGAAAATAGTTTGCATATATTAAAAAAATATAAAGCTGACTAATAGTTTCTCCGTTATTAAACTGGTACTTTATTTTTTTAGATGTGTGACATCATATTGGACCATGAAAAACACACATTTATCTTCGCAAAGCCTCAGAAGGGTAGGATTTATGTACAAAATGTAAACCTGTATATGAAATTATATTTTGCTTTTATAAAGTTTGGTATACGTCTATTTTGAATTTACAGCCCCCCCCCCCCAGGAGAAAACTCCACCAGCCGCCACTGCTACTGGGAGTGGAGAAGGTGATGAAACTTTCCTTACATAAGCAGGTATTTTTAGCAAAAAAAACTCCTTCTACTGCACAGTCACACGTTCACCCTGTTCAGTCACCAGCCTCCGCTGAGGAATCCATAAACTGGCACTGAGGCGAACTCTCCATAAAGCAGAATAAGGTGCAGGAGTATGTGACAACACAAGGCTGGGGCCCGCTGACCTGGGAAGGGGCCTCCTGTTTTATCACACCCACTGCTGAGAGAAGAGACAGGCAGACTAATTAGGGATCAGCACGATTAACGGAGACTCCCTCTTTTCCCTTTACAAGACCTCGCGTTCAACATTTAATCCATCAGCAAGATGTGCGTGGGAGGGAGGAGAAGAGAGAGGGAGGGAAAAAAA